GGGTCTCAAGTAAAATTCTTCCAAGAATAACTTTTATTTATAGTGGCAGTATGCATGGAACATGTAATATCGGAAAGAAACATGTCACTAGCACAAAACTGATTTTTTTATATTATTAAGTCAAATTTACAAGTCAAATTAATTTGCACTGCTATTTATATTTACTTATAAATCATCATAATCAATCTCATATTAACACATTAAAAATTATTCTTAAAGTTTACTATTCAGTCAAATTAACAACAATGTAATTTGCACTGCTTTTAGAATATACAGAACAATCATCATAAAACTTGATAAAACCACAACTCTTTGATAAAAGAACTTTTTAAAGTGGATGTATGCATGGAAAATATATTCTATGACAAAAATTAACACATTTAACCAGCAAATATTATATAATTTGAGTCAGATGTACAACAATCTCATTTGAGCTTTTATAAATATGCTTATATCAATCATAAAACTAGGTGATAAAATGGAAGAAGAATCTTAGTCTTTGTTATTACAAGTCATGTTATTATGAGTGTGTTAATGTGAAAAATCTAAAAGTCAAATAGATCAAAATCTGGAGTCTGCTACGGCAAAAACACGAGGAGCGCAGGACGCATAGCGAGCAAAACCCTCGCGGCTGTTAGTAAACCATTCAAAAGAGGTGCCTCTTAACGCATAAAGCGCGTTCGGTGTGATCAGCCTGACTCATTTTTAGTCATTAACGGTCGAGTGCATTTTAATATCCGAGAGTGTGTTCTAATTCTACTGGTTGCGCTAACTGTACCGCGTGCAATACTGCCATCACAAGGCATTCAGTTGTAATTGCATCATTAATTTACTAATTCTGAACCAAACCCTTACTCAGAAGCAGCAATTTAAAAACTTCCTTGCGGGCCGCATAAGAAGTGTTCAGCGCGCCGCATATGGCCTGCAGACTGTAGTTTGCCCACCTCTGGACTAGAAGGTGCGATCGTGTAGCTCCCAAAATGTGCACACAAGCCGCACGCCTCCATTGGAAATGGTGAACTTGTGCATGGAAAAGATGTTATACTGTATGTGAACAGGGCCGCCATCATTTGCGATATCTAGCAGTAGATCTTCTTGCACAGGATTCACCTGATTTGTTGACAAATGGATTGCAGATGCATTCCTTGGCAGCTCGTGGGACCTTCATCAGACCTTTTTAAAGTCCCTTTTAGGCAAGTCATTTCACTCGGCTGCTATATTTGAAACACCTCTCGGGCAGTATGCTTGGGCAGTATGCTCGGGCATTCTGTCTGAATAGGGAAACATCAAATTCTCCAAAACTGTTTGCCAAGCTTATAATTACATTAGGAATCACCTATAAAATGAAACCGCAACCGTCTCACAAGTTTCAATTCTAAATGTCCGAACAAACAAAATAGTTTTTTTTTTTCAGTTTGCCCAAGCTAATGCACATGCGCACTTAAAAGAAACAAGATCACGACACCAACCTCATTTATGACCGTTCTACACATGATCATCCTCTGGATAATGCTTCGTCAGATCGCTCTGGTCTTCTGATGTAATCCACAACTTGGCCTTGATGGCGAATCTCCTCCAGAAATCACAGCGACTCTTTGTTAACAAGTCTGCGGGTGTTTGAGTAGTTGCTGTCATGTAATGTGCATTTGACTGGACAGACTGTATCTCACGTTCGTTTCATACAGATTACAAAACCAAAAAAAACCGTATTAAACTAAGTCAAATTAGTTAATTTAAAATACAGATTTCAAGCTGTCTTTGGATATGTTTCTTATGTCTGTAAAGCAAATATTCACTGAGATTCCAGTGTGTTTGTTGACCACAAAAACTGTCGTAAAAGCACACGTCTGGTCCGAGTCCCTCTCCCGGAGAAACGTCACTCTATAGCGATAGATGATTGGCTCCTGTACTCGTAGGCGTGACTTCATTCGCCATATTTACCGTTACTCTTTTCCCCATTCAAAACTATTCGAAGGACATGTCTTGTGTATTCTACAGTCTTTGGCCTTTTGCCCTTTGCAAAGAAACTTCTCAAAAACGTCTGTTTCTTACTCATTTTGCTACTTGTGGATTAAATTTTGGCACTCAAGTGACCAATATGTAATCAAGAAAATACCGTCATTTTTCAATATAAAAGATTTTTCAAAATAAAGAATTAATGTGCAGACAAGTACCATTTAATCAACGGACTGGAACCGGTCTGGGGATTGGGGACCAATAATTTACAGCATTAAAAAAGCAATGAACCAAATCCACTACCCGCAACAAGAGATATCACAACATTACAGACCACATGAAAAAATACTGATGATTTCATTTTTTTTTTGTTAACAACTGTTTATTTAGTTTTTCAGAAAACAATATAAAAAAAAAATAAATAAATAAAAAAAAAACAAGTGCAAATTTAAAACCCACTCCCGCCCATCCCACCCCTGGTAGACCTCAAAAGATGATTTAAAAAAATAATAATAATAAATAAATAAATAAACAAATCAAATAATTTTACCAGGAAATTGTACTAAGACTTTTAAAAGGATGCCAGTACTAGATTGAGGCTGGAAGGGCATCCGCTACGTAAAACATATGCTGGAATAGTTGGTGGTTCATTCTGCTGTGGCAACCTCTGATAAATGAGAGACTTGAGACGAAAGAAAATGAATGGATGAATAAATAACTAGACTCTTGTGTATTATAGGGCTACTTTCAGGAAGGAAACAATGTCATAAGAAACTTTGCTGCTCATCAGGTTACTGCAATCCACTTCTAAGTATGTACACAAGGTTTCCACACAGTTTAAGAGTTTGCCATATTGTGCAAGAGTGTTTCAGGACATTTCTGACATGTCTATATTTAGGAAACACTCAACAAAGAGCAAGGTGATGGTGATAATAGGGGAACTTCAGAAAGGCTGTCCTGAAGCAATTTTAAAAGTTCTTCTTTTTTTTTTTTTGGTGTTTATACAGTTGAAGTCAGAATTATTAGCCCCCCTGTTTATTTTTTTCCCTAATTTCTGCTTAATGCAGAGAAGATTTTTTTCAACACATTTCTAAACATAATAGTTTAATAACTCATTTCTAATAACTGATTTCTTTTATCTTTGCCATGATGACAGTAAATAATATTTGACTAGATATTTTTCAAGACACTTCTATACAGCTTAAAGTGACATTTAAAGGCTTAGCTAGTTTTGTTAGGTTACCTAGGCATGTTTAGGGTAAATAGGGTAGTTATTGTATAATTATAGTTTGTTCTGTAGACTATCTAAAAAAAATTGCTTAAAGGGGTAATAATATTGACCTTAAAATGGGTTTTAAAAAAAATAGAAACTGCTTTTATTCTAGCTGAATTAAAACAAATAAGACTTTCTCCAGAAGAAAAAAATATTGTCAGACATACCGTGATCATTTCCTTGTTCTGTTAAACATAATTTGGGAAATATTTAAAAAAGAAAAAAAAATCAAAGGGGGGGCTAATAATTCTGACTTCAACTGCATATTTTTTAGCTGTATTTGAAATGCCAAGACTGATTTAATAGGTAGATTATTTAGATAGCTATAAATACTGGTATACGAAATAACCATAGACATATTATTTGTTTTTCTACTATGGATGTTTTGTGTTCAGCAGATGAAAGAAACTCATAAAGGTTTGGATGTTGAATCTCTTGAGGATAAACAAACCACTTGAGTAAATAATGAGTAAAATTCTTCAATAGTCATAATTAGATAACAATAAGTGATGTTTCAGAAACTAATTTCGAGAGGAGCACGTGATATGATTGAGCACTGCTGGCCACTCATCCGTAATCAGTAATAATCCAATCAGAGTGATCCTAGCTTAATATAAATGGATCACTTTCTCCTTATTGCTCTATCTTCGAAACTACAGTAGTTGCTAAGATTTATTACAAGTCTTCATAAATTAAACTGCATTATTAGTCAATTCTTTTGTAAGTTGGCTTTAATTTCAGTATCTGACGTTTTCAATTTGATCACTTATGATGAGTTTATGCTTGTGCATCACAGCAGCCTGAAAAAACGGCAGGAAAGACTTGCGTTACAAATATACCTAATTATGTAACTCAAGAATAGGAATAAGCTTTGCATGTGGTTGGCAAGATCAGTGATAGACACATCTGTTTTCAGGTTATTAGATTTCCTCGCTCTATCTTCGTTTTGGAAGAATCCCCCCTTCCACCCCATCTCCTCCTTTTTCTCCCCTTGCTAAAGGGGGAGCTAACGAGACCTAGTTGATCTCTGATCCCTTGATATGCTTATTGACCGGGCGGGAGCCCTGGGCTCAAATATCTCCAAGCTCAGGGTTCGCTCCTGGGACAGCATGCCAAACCTGCTATAAATGCCAAGCATATCTAAGCGAGAACTCTTGAAACAGGCCTACTGATATAATTTACATTCTGACGTTTTTATTAACATTTTGAAATTTGATGCTTTTATATTCACCATTTTTATTCTACTTTGAGTATATAAACACTTCAATGCTTAACGCTTTCTAGGAATTTATTTCAGGACATTTCTAACTTGTCCTTGCTTTATTAAACATCACTTAGGAAATTTTTATTTAGGAAGAACTCAAATTTTACAGGAGGTCTAATAATTTTGCCTTTAAGTTTTTTATACACACTATTTATTATCATTCTGACAATGTGTGCTTTTAGATTAGCTTCTAACAATTTATTTTAATTCTCTAATGGTTAACGCATTGTTGGAGTTCCTCGAATTGGGCAAGAAGTCTTTCAGGACATTTCTAACATGTCTAAACTTAGCAAGCACTCAACAAAGAGCAAGGTGGTGATAAAAGAGGAACTTTAAAGAGGCTGACCTGAGGATGTGGGAAGGGAAAAGCCATTCGCAGGAGTTCGCAGAAAGCGGTAAAGGGTTTCAGATGCTATTTAATGACTCATGATGTATGAAAGAGGCGTGGAAACCTGTCTACCAACTCTTTCTCTCTCTCTCTCTCTCTCTCTCTCTCTCTCTCTTTCTCTCTCTCTCTCTTTCTCTCTTACTCCTTCTGTGTCATTCATACCCACAGCACAACTTACACCACACAGACAATATCTAGAAGAACTTTCTCTCTTTGCTTATTCATGTTAAGCTATTAAGTTATTCATTTCATTGAAAACTCTTTCATGGACCCAAGGGCTTCTTCTACTCTTTGGATTTTTTGCCTGTCTTTCTGAAGCAGTCAAGAGCAACAGGGTCTGATTACGTTCCTGAGAGAGACTCTTTGAAGAATCTCATCTTCTCAGCAGGTTTATTTTCCCTCTTTTGACCCCGCGCCTCTGTTTTTACTTCACCACATTGTTGTGAGGGAGAATGTTAAGGATCTACTGTGGCGCTTGTGTTGTTTTATGGATTTTTTTCATAGCGGAGTGTAAAATTCCAGGTAAGAGTGAATTTATTCGATCTTTTTTTAATGCTTTGTATTTCAGGTCGGAATTTGTTTGTAGAGAACCACACCCCTTTTCATTATCAAGAAATCATGACTTGTTCATGATTTATTTTTTTGCAATCATGAAAAAACAACAGACAGGCAAATCTTGCATATAACAATAATCTGTGCAAAATCTAAAATAAAGCATGAAAACAAGTCCAAAACCTAGGAAAATGGCAACGAACAAGGCAAATACGACCTACAAAAAGAAACTACAGTAGTTGCTAAGAAAAAAAAAAATGTATTACAAGTCTTCATAAATTAAACTGCATTATTAGTCAATTCTTTTGTAAGTTGGCTTTAATTTCAGTATCTGACGTTTTCAATTTGATCACTTATGATGAGTTTATGCTTGTGCGTCACAGCAGCCTGAAAAAACGGCAGGAAAGACTTGCGTTACAAATATACCTAATTATGTAACTCAAGAATAGGAATGAGCTGTGCATGTGGTTGGCAAGATCAGTGATAGACACATCTGTTTTCAGGTTATTAGATTTCCTCGCCAGGAATTCTTGCCCGTGTTAGCTAGTTTCCTCTATTTCAGTCATTTTTTGTATATTAATATTATATTTTTTGTTTAATTCATTACCTTTTTGGCTTAGGGGTGTCATTTTTGTTATTAGTTTCACTTTAGATTGATTTTTTTTCTCTTATATGTGTTTTAGTTGATTCCTCAAAGTAAGTTTTTCATCGCATGACGTCAAGAAAAAGCAGAAGCACAACCGCAGCCAAATTATTGCATATGAGATCTACTCACCATTGTGGTGATCGGAAATACAGTAATTTGAGTGTGTTACTAGAGTCATTTTTATTTAATCTATTGATTGACAACTTTCATTGTGTTATTAGTTAAAATCATTTAATTTAAATATTTATTTTAATTAATTCATAAGGCAGGATTTAAATGGTTAACAAAAACACTCATTTAAGGCATGTGTATCCGTGTTTGTTTCTTTTTTATTATGGTTTTCATTTGAGCATTTTTTTTGTAGTGGGCAAAAATTAATCGTGATTAATCTCATCCAAAATAAAGTTTGTTTTGACTTAAAATATGTGTGTGTATATAAATACCCATGCATATATTTAAGAAAATGTTAATTTATATTGACCAAAAAAAAAATTATATATATATATATATATATATATATATATATATATATATATATATATAATTAATACATTATTTTTTGTTTCATTTTAGGTTGAATACTTTTTCTTGTATGTGTTCTTAAATGCAAGTTTTTCATCACATGACGTCAAGAAAATGTAGAAGCGTAACCGGAGCCAAATTATTGCATATGAGATCTACTCACCATCGTGGCAATCAGTGTTGGTTAAACTGTATAGAGAAAGAGAGTAATATGAGTGTATTACTTGAGTATATTTAATTTATTTCTTGATAGATTGAATTGTGTTATTAGTTCCATTTTATTTAAAATGATTACATTATTTGAATATTCATATAACATAAGGCAGGGTTTAAATGGTTAACAAAAACAACACGCATGATAAATCGCATTCAAAATAAATGTTGGTTTGACTTTAAAATATGTGTGTGTACCATGTATATTTATTATGTACATATAAATACACGCATGCATGCATATATTTGAGAAAATGTTAATTATATTTAGATATGATATATATATATGTATGTGACAGATTATATATAAATTTAAATATACAAATAATGAAATAAATAAATATATAAATGAAAAAATTAAATATGTAACAAAATAGTTTTGTTTCTATGTATGTGTGTGTCAAATATACGTCGTAAATGTATATAATACACACACATATATTACGTCAAAACAAACTTGGATGTCATTAATCATGATTAGTTTTTGCTCTTGTAAGTAATTTTATAACAGGGCAAGTAATTTTAACTCCAGCTTAGACATTTTTTTATGTTTTATAGCTTATATTGTTGATTTACAAGGCAAAATTGCATTTTATTTTAAATTTAACATTGTTATTTTTAAATGTATTATTATTATTATAACATTATATTATATGAAAATATGATATTATTATTATAACATATATTATTATATATATTTGCTTTGTGACTGATCTAAAACTAACTATTAAGTAGTTCTCTGTATCTAGCTTTTCACACGTATTGCTATTTTGAACATTTAATTTTATATTTTAAGTCCAAGTGTAGTTTGTTTTGTTGTTGTTGAAATTTTAACATTTTTTTAGCCTTTTAGGTTTATTAAATAATTAGTTTGTAAATATATGTGTGTGTAATTATTATTATTTTTTACCTCATTTATTGTTTTAAGTAGCTTGAATTTTTTTTTCAATTACCAATAAAAATCTAAAATAGTTTTATTCATTAGTTAACAATAGCTAAGTACAATAACGCTGCCATTATGCACACCATGCAACACTATGCACACACACACACACACACACACACACACACACACACACACACACACACACACACACACACTGTTTGCTTTGATTTCTGAACTTCTACAACATCATCAGGCCACTTAAAGTAAACCTGCATAATTCCTGCAATAGATCATCAGCCAGATCAAGCTAAGAGATGAGTGCACGTCATAAATATACCTCATTATGTAATTACAGTGGATGCTCCTCTTGGATCTCAAGTGGAGGCAGAATATCAGCTAATGCATCTCTGAGACACATCTCAAATGTAGGAGACGAGTGAGTTTGCTAAAAGTTGTTCCGTCCCGTCATCTGCTTCACGGTTAACATTACAGCAAGCCAAAACCTCTCCAGGGACTCACCATAATAGATCTAGACCAGATATTTAGCATAAAAGAAAGTGTTGCATGCATGACAGAAAAAGACAGAAGGGCACATAAAATTGAGTAAAAAAATTGAGTGATACATATTCATGCAGATAGATAGTTTAATGCAATCTCAGTCTTGCAGTGCATGCAAAATCACTACAGTGTCACATCATAAAGGTCAGCGCCATCTTGCTCTCTGCTGCTGCTGTGTTTATTTAGTATTTATAGCCAAACAGTCTTGCCGATAAGGTGAGTGTGTTGAACGTTAAATAATCAGTCGCAAGTGGTCATTACTGATACTCTATCTATCCTGTCAGCCTGATGTCCTGGGTCAACACACAATTGTAATCTGCAGGACTCTCTTTTTCTCAGAATTAAAAGGTGACTGGTGCACATATACAGTATATGTTTTGTACACATGCACACCCACTCATGTGTGGTTAGGAAACTGATGGTGGAGAGTTACATATGAGAAAAGATGTCTTATCAGCAGCGTTTTTAACCCCTTATCTGTCATCCTAGATTTTGAATTCCAAAAATTATAGATGATATATATGCATATTTTACATAGTTTGTCAAGGTAAGTACAGGCTTTGATTTGTTTAAAGAATACAAGACTAAATGGCATTTGGTTGATAAACTTAATGGCTAGTTTTTCCTGCTGTATCACTATATTGTTAATGATTACGTTAGATCACAGAATTTAAGTGGAAATTGCATACTTAAAATGATTTGTTTGCAGAAATTGTCATTTTGGATAAAGGAAGTTACAGAATTGTTATTTCTGAATTTTCACTGAATGTCTAGTTGTTTTAAAAAAGTTTGTTTTATATGGGAAGGTCGGACAAAAATAGTAATATAATGCTGATTTTTATAATTGTACAAACAATAAAGGAATGAGACTGTGATTGTGATTGTGGAATTATTGATTGTGGAATATTTTGAAATTGGTCATAATTAGTAATGTATAAATTTCCAATTTTCTTAAAAAATATAGCATAAAAACATTTTGACTATGTTATTAAAGCACTGAATAAAAGTGAGGAAACATTCTGTTGGAAGAGCGAAGAATGTTTGTTCATTAACATTTTGATAATGTTTCCTGTCAGCGAGGTGCATTCATGAGTAATACATGTGTTACAGTTTCTTTTCCGTGTTTATGCAAAGGTCAGCATTTGGAAAATGTTATTAAGTGCAGAATGACTATGAAGAAACTATTAATGTTACTACAAAATTGTTCATAACTTTCAGAGAACTTTGGCAGAATTGTCTGAGAACATTTCCTGTTAGTTAAAAATGAGCAAAACGTGTTTTTATTTTATTATTATTATTTTTTGTGTGTGTGGGCCAGCAATAACGTTAAGGACATGACCCATTTGGTAATTTTGCAATCATTATGAGAACTTTGCTTTTGAATTATAAACAATTTGAAACAATTAGTAAGTAAAAACATTCAGACAAACATTCATTTATTCTCAAAAAAATGCCAATGAGTGTCGTTGTGCTAATATTTTTTAGAATCACTCAAAAAAGACAATTGCTGTATGTTCAAGGTAGTTATTTAAAATGAAAAGACAATTATTGAGTGTTTTTATGACAACTTAATTGTTTTATTATCAATCCACTTAAATTTGTAAAAGCTAATAAATTAACTTAATTCCTTCATGTTGTTTCAACACAAATCGATTGTGTGGAACCCAGAACTTTTACAGTGGTGATATCAAGAATAGGATAACTATGTGGAACAATTCTGTCATTGTTATTGTCACATAACTTTGTTTTAATAATCTGATATCATAATTTTTTTTTGTTAGTATAGAATATACACTTACCAGCCACTTTATTAGGTACACCTGTCCAACTGCTTGTTAACGCAAATTTCTAATCAGCCAATCGCATGACAGCAATTCAATGCATTTAGGCATGTAGAGATGGTCAAGACGATCTGCTGCAGTTCAAACCGAGCACCAGAATGGGGAAGAAGGGGGATTTAAGTGATTTTGAACATGGCATGGTTGTTGGTGCAAAACGAGCTGGTCTGAGTATTTCAGAAACTGCTGATCTACTGGGATTTTCACACACAACCATCTCTAGGGTTTACAGAGAATGGTCAGAAAAAATTGAAAATATCCAGCGAGCGACAGTTCTGTAGGCACAAATGCCTTGTTGATCCCAGAGGTCCGAGCAGAATGGCCAGACTGGTTTGAGCTGATAGAAAGGCAACAGTAACTCAAATAACTACTCATTACAACCGAGGTCTGCAGAAGAGCATCTCTCAACGCACAACACATCCAACCTTGAGACGGATGTGGTACAGCAGCAAAAGAGGACACCCGGTGCCCCCCCCCCCCCCCCCCCCTCCCTCCCTGTCAGTTAAGATCAGGAAACTGAGGCTACAGTTCGCACAGGCTCACCAAAATTGGACAATGGAAGATTAAATAAAACATTGCCTGGTCTGATGAGTCTTGATTTCTGCTGCGGCATTCGAATGGTAGGGTCAGAATTTGGCGTCAACAACATGAAAACATAGATCCATCCTGCCTTGTATCAATGATTCAGGCTGCTGGTGGTGGTGTAATGGTGTGGGGGATATTTCTTGGCACACTTTGGGCCCATTGGTTGAGCATGGTGTCAATGCCACAGCCTACCTGAGTATTTTTGTTGACCATGTCCATCCCTTTATGACCACAGTGTACCCATCTTCTGATGGCTACTTCTAGCAAGAGAACGCTCCATGTCATAAAGCGTGAATCATCTCAGACTGGTTTCTTGAACATGACAGTGAGTTCTCTGCACTCAAATGGCCTCCACAGCCACCAAATTTCAATCCAGTAGAGCACCTTTGGGATGTGTTGGAACGGGAGATTCACATCATGGATGTGCAGCTGACAAATCTGCAGCAACTGCGTGATGCTGTCATGTCAATATGGACCAAAATCTTTGAGGAATATTTCCAGTACGTTGTTGAATCTATGCCACTAAGGATTAAAAGGTTGTCCAACCCGGTACAAGTAAGTTGTACCTAATAAAGTGGCCACAAGCACGTGAAATTAGTCAGTGCATTGCTTGTGAAAATAACCTATAGTTTTATAAAAAATAAAAAAACTGAATTCAATTAAACAATGGTAAGCACAAATTTACCGTGATTCACCATTCAACTGCAGTATTGGTTGTAAAACTGGTTATACATATGGTAATCATATAATATAAAAGCATTTTCTAGGCTAATAATAGCTAGATGATGATTGTAGTTAATAATTCTCATACATGCTTTTTTATTGGTATGCAGAGGTTCGCGTGAGCTGCATCTTCTCTGAGGACTGTGTTCTTCCCTGCTCTTTCACATCTACTGGTGCAAATGCGAATGTTCAGTGGTACCAGCAGGAGGCGCTGGTCCTCAGTTTACCGCAAGCGGGACAGGGACCCAGCAATGGAAACATGCAGTTCATCAGCAACAGTGCCTCTGATGGCAACGCTTCGATCATGCTAAAAAAAGCAGATAAGACGAGTAAAGGACGATACAAATGTGTGGTCAACAATGTGACTCAGACGTATGTTATTGCCATGGTGGAAGGTTTGTTTCTTTTGCTGAAATGCATTAATTTATATTAATTTAGTTGGTATAAACAGTAATCTTCCTTCAAACATGCTGTTAAATTTTTTGTATTTTTATTATGATGTTCAACACACTGATATATCAAATTTAAAGTGTGTGTGCAATTAAAATGTACAATGTTAAATGCTTCAGTCAATGTCTGGTTCTCTGATGACATCATTGTCATGGCTCAACATTGCAGCTCCCATCAGGATGATCTCCATCAACAGCAGTGAGTCGGGTTTGGTCCAGTGCTCCACCAGAGATGTGTATCCTGCGCCGGTGTTGCAGTGGAGCTCAGAGCCCGCCTCAGCTCCTGGTGTCCTGCAGCCTATCACCCGCATCAGTCCTGGAGGAAACGGCCTTTTCTCAGCCCAGAGTGTCTTAAAACTGCAGAACAACAGCCTTGAGCATGTCTATATGTGCACCATCACCTCTAAATATGAAACACAGACATGGACGGCGTCATTTAAGCCACAAGGTAAAACTTATAATGTGAAAAAGTTAAATTAATGAATATGAACATAATGTGACAAAACCAATCTTGTCTCATACACTCAGAAATAAAGGTACAAAATCTGTCACAATCTGTGCACTTTTGTACTATACAGGGGAAAATTATTACCATTAGGACAACACTGTTGTACCTTTAAGGTTTACTTTTGTACCTTAAAGGGGTCTTAAAAAGTATTAAAAGTTAAAAAATCAATATAGAAAATCAAGGCCCTTAAAAATTAATAAAAAGTCTTGAACGCTATTTTGCAAGGTATTAAATTTTAAATCATTTTTGATTATGCAATGTATAGTTGTGTGCTAAAGTTTGCTTGAATTAAATCTGTGAATATCAGGATACTGTGTAGTTTATGAAATCAATAAAATCCTGCTAGATCTGACATCATGCTGCTTTGTTTACTGCAGTACCCAAGGCAACACCATTATTTCTGCAGTTCTATAAGCGCCAACCTGCAGAATTTAGATTAAAGTGTTTCTTATTGAAACCTAAAGTGGTTATAAGGACTTAAAATGTATGGAAAGAGTCTAACAAAAGGTCTGAAAAGGTATTAAATTTCACTCTCTGATTGCTGTATATACTCTGAATTAATATGCACCTTTAAGAACCTGTTGGGAACAAAACTGTGCCCTTTGAAAAAGTACACTGCCCAGTGACAGATTTTGTATCGTTATTTCTGAGAGTGCAGAATTGATCAGCTCTGAATGGATAAAGTTGTTTGTGGCAGATATTTAAAACACATGTTTGATTTACTGTAAAAACATCAAATAGAGCATTTATTTGTACATGAAACAAGAGGGTATTTTATTAGATTTTTTATTTAATTTAATTACATTTTTTTAAATAAAAATGTGGTCATTGTTGTCTCACAAACAGTAATTACCAGAACTGAAGATATTTATTTTGATTGCTAATGCACAAGATATTTTTTCACCTTACTATTTTATAATGTGTAATAAAAGTACAGTTGTATTCATAATATAATGCAAGATCAAAACATATGTACATGCAATTGAATGAAGATATTTTATTTTATTTTATTTTATTTTATTTTATTTAGTATTGTCTCATAATCAAAACTGGAATTACCATATCAGAAGTTTCTCCATTCACAACCTATAATAATATATTTAATTCGTAATAAAAAAATATCAAATCTAAATATTTGTACATTTAATAGATTTTAATTAGATTTTTTAAATTTTATTATTATTTTTTATTGCTAATGCACAAGGTCTTATGTCACCTTAATATATTATAATGTATAATAAAAGTACAGTTTTAAGTTTAATTTATAATATAATACAAATCAAATTATTTGTACTTGTTATCGGATGAAGATATTTTATTTATCTATTTATTTATTTATTTGTTTAAAAAAATATTTTATTATTTTATTTTAATTTAACACTAACATAATCTCTCATACAAAACAGAAATTACCGGCTATACGGGGCAAGACCTGGTTATTCCATGCAAAGCTCCCAAGCACCTCCAGTTCTTATCTGCCGTCTGGACATTTACAAGAGCAAACAAAACCACAGACGTCCTGAAGTATGACAGCCGAACCCACACATTCAGCAGCTCACTGGATCATGTAAATCTACAGGAGAAGGACAGAGCTGTGATAGGAGACTTTTCTCTCGTCCTGAAGAAACCCGTGGCCTCAGAACATGCTGGCATCTACACATGTGCCTTCACTGGAGCAAAGACACAGCATCTGATACAGACACACGTCGACATCACTTCCTCCAGACAGGGGAAAGGTACTTATAACCCCCCCGTCTCCAAATTCAATTATATTTTATAACAAGCAAGTGACAATGCCATCAATATTTCCATCAATAAATTAAGGATATTTTCCTCATCAACATGCATCAACAGTTGACAGACACTGATTAGCATGTTCAGGTGTGTTTGATTAGTGTTGGAGCTAAACTGTGCAGGACACCAGCCCTTCAGGACTAAGTTTGTCCTCCCCTGCTCTAAGGGCTTATTACAGTATGCAGTTTCTGTCGCATCTTATGGATGAACATCGTCAACCGTCTTTGCTCAGTATGACAGGCTAATGGCCGCCGACACACTGTCTCTCAGAAATTATAAATATCTTTAAATAGGCATTATCCTTGTAAATAACCTGCATAGTTATTAACCTGAATAACCTCGATTAAAAGGCTCAAAAGTACATTATGTTGCCCAACAGCAGAGATATTTGTCAAACTTTAGAGTGTCCTCTGCATGTCGCTTTATGTGGGCGGAGTAATACACAAGGGTGAAGAGGCTGGATGAGTGCTCTTATCCGCTTGTTAAGTGTGACGTCACGCGAAGCGGCTTCCGGGTCCAAGCGCTCTATTCAACTGAATGGGGAAACTCATGAAATGGTAATAATAAATGTTTACAAAGTGATTTAAGGCTTTCGAAAATCACGATCGCAGTATATATGTCCATGCCTAATATCCTATGGCCAGAAAGTGATTAATTTTTAAAAAATAGTTACATTTTTGGTATTTGTTATGCAGCAAGCCCAGAGATTGTTGTGTACATTATGATTTTATATAAAATTAACTTTAATGTGTGAAAGGAATAAAACGTGATCGTAAACGAATGATTTCTCCACTCAAATGAATGGCGGCTTGGACCCGGAAACAGTATTACATACGTCACAAACACGTCACCACTTAACAAGCGGATTTGCAGAATATCGCACGGCTGTCAGCCAATCAGATTCAAGAACCAGACAGAACTGTTGTTTAAAGCCTTATATCAGATTTCTACATATGATTGCCTTTAATATAATATAATATAATGTAATATAATATAATGTAATATAATATAATATAATATAATATAATATAATATAATATAATATAATGTAATATAATATATATAATATAATATAATATAATATAATATAATATATGAGCAATATCACACGAGTAGCAGTACGATATGGCTGTATATCGGCACTGGTGGGCGGCGTGCGATGGCACGAGGCCGCAGGCCTGCCCCCACCAGTGCCGATATACAGCCATATCGCACTGCTACTCGTGTGATATTGCGTTTATACAACAGTTTGACGACATAATTGTGTAAATAAAAACAAAATCAAACATGGAGAGTCTCAAAAACCCTTTTGTATGAGGAACTACTTTCTTCCGCTTTGGATTCAAATCATAAGCTGACAGTTAAACAGCTGTTAAAACAGTTAAAAGCATCTTTTAAACTTTAGATCCTTAGTGTCTACTTTTTGCTGGCTGTATGTGTGCGGAGTAATACACAAAGGGTAAGAGGCTGTAGGAGTTGTGATATTGCAGAATATCGCACGGCTTTCAGCCAATCAGATTTGAGAACCAGACAGAACTGTTGTATAAAATATTATATTATATTATATTATATCATATTATATTATATTATATTATAAAAGTTCAATTAAGTGTATTCATTATGGTTTATTATTTGGTATGAAAATTAGTTGATGAAAAGAAGAAATGTCGGAGCTATCAATATATCCTGTATATTAATATAAGCTGTAATACTAAAATAGTTTTTATGATTTTGTGTTTAAGATGAAAATACTGCCAGCTTTTACTAAACCAGATTTTTTTTCATTCTGCTGAACACAAAAGAGGATATTTGGAAGAATGTTAGAAACCTGTAACCATTGACTTCCATTTGTTTTTCTTACCATGGAAGTCAATCGTTAAAGTTTTTAACATTCTTCAAAATATCTTATTTTTTCAATACTTGAAAAAAAAACACTAAAATACTGTTTAATTCTCTGTTAAATTAAAAAAGAAAAGCATAGAGGGTATATACAGACTTCAAAACGAGTTAACATCTCGCTGTCTGGTAATTTTGTAGTGGTTAATAAAAATAATTTTAACTAATAATTTAATTTTGAAATTAAGGTTCCTTCCAAAAAAAAGGACATTTTCTTTGATTCAATTTTAGATTGACATTAATGCCTAAAATGTCTTTCAATTCAGTTAACTTTTTAAAGGTATTGTGCACCCAAAATGTACTCACCTTTTCCTCACCGTAAAGTGTTTACAAAAACACACGCATTTTAATGAATGTTGGAAACCGGTCATCATAGACTCCTACAGTAGGAAATAAAATACTATGGAAGTCAATGGTTACTGGTTTTCAACATTCTTCAAAATATCTTCTTTTATGTTCAACAGAAGAAAAAAACTTAAACTGGTTTGAAACAAGTGGAGGGAGATTGAATGTGGACAGAAATGTTGTTTTTTGAGGGTGAACATTATAACTATTACAAAACTAACCTTTTTTTTTCTCTTTTTAGATTCTATGAAATATAATCTGTGGATGTTGGGTATCGTCATAGGATTAATCGTTCTTCTTGCCACCGTCTTGATTATAAAAAGATACAGAGGTAACAATGTGAACCTACTGTATAATACAAGCCCGATTCCAAACAAGTCTGGACGTTTTGTAAAATGCAATGAAATTTAAGAGTCTGTGATTGAGTTTTAATTTCTCTTTAACATATTTAATTGCCAAAAGCACAAAGAAAATTCTTCCAATTATTTCACTGAGGGGTGGCACAGTGGCTCAGTGTTAGCACTGTCACCTCACAGCAAGAAGGTCGCTGGTTCAAGTCCCGTCCGGGCCAGTTGGCATTTCTGTTTGGAGTTTGCATGTTCTCCTTGTGTTCGCGAGGGTTTCCTCCTTGTGCTCAGGTTTCCCCCACAGTCCAAAGACATGGTTAATTGGATGAACTAAATTGGCCATAGTGTATGAGTGTGTGTGTGTGTGAATGCGAGAGTGTGTATGGGTGTTTCCCAGTACTGGGTTGCATTTGTAAGGGCATCCGCTGTGTAAAACATAAGCTGCAATAGTTGGCAGTTAATTCCACTGTGGTAATCCCCTGATAAATCAGGGAATAAGCCGAAGGAAAATAAATGAATGAATGAATGAATGAATGTTTTCGCTGACAAACTTCAATGTATTTTGTCATTTTTATTATAATTTATTTTTATTTTTTGCATGTGTTGATATTGATGCCTTTAACACACTCCTAAATTTTTGGGACAGAAACAAAATAACTTCAATAAATTCAAAATAAACTGGTGATAAGTGAGAGATTCATGACGGGGTATAAAATGAACATCTCAGTCTTTGCAAACAAAACAGGATCTGGGCCTAACATTTTGAATTAAAAAAAGAATAAAAACAACAAATGTCAAATCGGACAAAACCTTTGGACAAAAACTAATGTAAAGTCTAAAGGGAGCATCCAGACGTTTATGATGTGTGCAAATGTACCGATATTGATGACCACTGACTGTTGAGCTGCTAGAGATTTGTATTATGTCAGACTGGCAAAACATTTTGCTCGTAAAACTTTAACAGTTAGTTCACAGATGATTAATTAACAGATCAGTCAATTTACAGATGATTAAACATTATAATTAATAGCTTAAATAATAAACATGTAGGTGGCAATGTCTTAAACATGTCTTTTTCAATGGGAAAATGTGCTCAGGGATACATTTTTGAAAACTGAGAAATATGTGCTTGTGGGTAACACCCAAAAAAGCTGCGTCTAGCCCTGGTAGGACCATGTGTCAATGATGCCTTTTCTCTTCTAGTTTGCTTCTAAAAACTGTGTTGGTGGAGTTTAGGGAAGGGGGTGTTTAGGTCAGTAGATATCAAGCTAATCTATTATGAACAACAGGCCAACTGGCTTCTCTCACGGACATTATGTGAGAAGGACATTGAGATTAACAGAAATGTCCACAGCAGCCTCTGGTGGATTTGCAAGAAATGGCATGTATGAGAAAACATGCCCCAGTAACGTTTATGAGGTTGTCAAAAATGATGTCCTTTAGTGGATTTGCAAAAACAAAAACTGCAAGAAGACACTGTCAATGTCAAAAATGTATCCCTGGGCACATAATTCCAGCCAACGTCAAAAATGAATCCCGGTGCACATAATTCCAACAAGTCTGGGGTGACTTTGAAGTTTGTTTCATCCATCAAAATTAAATTTGTTTATACTTCCAGAATACAGTTTATTTGCTCACTGAAATCATTGGATCTTTGTACTTAAAGAGTATCAACAAGTCCTCAATTTTAAATGACGTGCATATTAGGATTTATTTTTAAATGGGCTGAGCATTTACATGCATTAATAGCTTTTTTAATTGCTAATGTAACAACTTTAAATATAAGACCTAAACATCAAGACCTTGCTGACTTCCTATAGTCTAGAAAAGACTGTTGACCCTTTTCAATGTGAAGGAAACTTTTTTTTTTTATTACTAATCAATGGATGAAAAGAAACTTTTTTGTGTGGGTAGAGTGACCTTTTTCATGGCATTCAGTTTTTACCTGTGTGCAAGTGTTAGCATGTGGAATAAGTTGTAGGCTTCAGTTCACTAAAGGGCCACTAATAACATTGTGCCTGAATTCTGCAGACAGTCCTTTTAAAAATACACAGTTTATATTCTTCATTCTATATTAATGATGTTTATGTTTGCAGCAAAGTCAAAAAGAAGTCCCGAAAATGCTCAAGAGGATGCAGAAATGCAAAGAATGAACGCAGGTACCGTCCACTCAGGTGACGTTTACACTGTGCTTTTGTTTTAAAATGCATACCTTTTTATTTATTTCATTTACAACTAATTTATTATAATATTAAAATGCATTTAATTTAAAATCAAATGTATATTTATATTACCTATTGTTTTAATTATTAATATTGTTATTTAAGTTATTTTAAGGTTCGGTTCAGGGGGAATTTTTTACAGTATGTCTGATAATATTTTTTCTTCTGGAGAAAGCCTGATTTGTCGTAGTTCAGCTAGAATAAAAGCTGTTCTTAATTTTTTAAAAAACATTTCAAGGTCAATATTATTATTTTTTGATTGTCCACAGGACAAACCATCATTACACAATGACTTGCCTAATTACCCTAATTTGCCTAATTAACCTAGTTAAGCCTTTAAATGTCACTTTAAGCTGAATACTATCTTAAAAATATCTTGTAAAATATTATTTACTGTCATCATGGCAAAGATAAAATAAATCAGCTATTATAAATGAGTTAATAAATCTTTTATGTTTATAAATGTGTTAAAAAAAATCTTTCCATTAAACAGAAATTGGGGGAAAAATATACGGGGGGGCTAATAATTCTGACTATCTAGCCATGTTATGTATTCTGAACGTAGATTTGCAAATGTAATGTTTTCCGTTTTCTCTTTTGTAGACAAAGCAGCAGAAGATGCACAAGCGGGAATGAAACTTCTGACAGAAGCTTCAGCATCTCACAGTCAACCATCATGAGATACAAGAGAGAAACTATTTACAGGACTCACTGACAGACAGACTGTATTTCTATGCCATTTGAACAAGCACAACGTCACAGAGAATAACATAAACATTTCAAGTATTTTTATTTTTTTAAATGAAGCTTTATTAAAGATTTGTTTTCATAATTTATTCTGAAAACAATAAAAATGCGTATATTATTTAAAAAACTATTCACTATTTATTTTTTACAGATCTTCTGTTGGCTGTTAGTATAGAAATTATGGTGTAATTCGGAAGGCTAAAATTAGAAAGAAAGGTTTGTTTTTTTGAAAGAAATGAAGGGAATAGTTCATCCAAACATTATCTGGTGCTTTACTCACCCTCAGGTCATTTAAAATGTAGGTGATTTTTATTTCAGTAATTGTAAATATGTGGAATCATGGCCATGTAGTTGCTATGGAGTGGTTTGGGTATTCTGTGTGGTTGGGAAGAGGATGCTAGGGTTCTCTGTAGTCCAGGGGTGTCCAAACTCAGTCCTAGAGGGCCGGTGTCCTGCAGATTTTAGCTCCAACCTGCCTCAACCCACCTGCACGGATGTTTCTAGACACCCTAGTAATGCTGCGGTAACACTAGAGTTTGTGTGTGTGAAATTCTGTTGTATGGCGCTGCTAAAAGGGGCGGGATTAAACAAGATGATTATACATTTTAAAAAGCGAGTGTCCATATTTTAAATTTATGTCCAGAGAGGTCATGTTTTGATCTTTGATTGGTCTCCACAGTCACATGATGCGATTTTGCAGGTCAGAGTTCACCAAGCTTGAACTTTTTGCATGGGGAGAAAAGTCCAGTGTGACCGCAGCTTTAGAGCTTGATTATCTAGGTCAGGTGTGTCTGATTAGGGTTGGAGCTAAACTATGCAGGTCACCGGCTCTCCAGGACTGAGTTTGGACACTTCTGCTATAGTCACTATAGGGATTTCTAAGTGGTTGCTTTGAAATAGCTATAGGATATTCTGTGTGGTTGGGAAAAGGTTGGTATTGTGTTGCTTTGTGGTTGCTAGGGTGTTCTTTGCTATTGCTAGGAATTTCTGCGTGGTTGCTAGTGTTGCTATATATATATATATATATATATATATATATATATATATATATATATATATATATATATATATATATATATATATATATATATATATATATATATATATATATATATATATATATATATATATATATAGCGGAGAAAATGAGTATTGAAAGAGTCATGTTTTTTCATGGGAAAAATATTAATAGCTGTTCACATGGAACTAAACCAGCTTTTGGTACAAACCCAAACAATACAAATAAAAATAAAACAACACAAAAAAAAAATCAGAAAAATGTGTTATGTGTTATAACAATAAAATGACACAAGAATAACGTACTGAACTACTGAAACATATTTAATACCTTATATAAAAAGCTTTTTGGTGATGGCAGCTTAAAGACACCTCTCATATGGAGAATGTAGTCACATAAATTGCTCAGGTGTGATTTTATCACAGACTTCAACAGTGTAAAAATCTTGAAAGTTTTAATTTAATTTCATAGTTTTCAATATGATGTAAATTTTCTATTAGATTCAGGTCAGGGGATTGGCCGGGGTCATTCTACAGCTTGATTTTCTTCCTCTGAAAGCATTTGAGAGATTCCTTGGCTGTGATTTGGTTCATTGTCTTACTGGAATGTCCACCCTGGTTTCATCTTCATCATCCTGCTAATGTAGATCTTGGACTAAAGCAAATGATATTTATTTACAATGAGGAAGAGCAGAGAATTCCTGAAGATCTGCTAAGAGATTTCAGCTGCTTTCTGGGCTTTTACTTACTTTCTACACCTCCTTTTCTTCATGTGTTCTATACTTTTCCCCTGCGTCATTTCATTTAATACACATAAACGAATTAGTTTTCTTTGAATATATCGAATTCTTTGGTCATTACCAACATCCGGTGAAAAACTCAAGGCCTTTAGAAATATGTTTTCAGAGAAAAATGGTGACGTATTCAACATTTATATTCCCTTCTGTATATAGCATGTAAAATAAGTATAAACCACATTAGGATTTTTTTTTCATAAATATATTTCTCAAAGAGCTGTTGAAATTGACCCTGATTTTAGTAAAAACCTAAACAAACACATAAGATCAGACAAAAAAAAATTCTGTATGGATAACTGAGCCTCATGCATTTCTCAGGTGTGATTTTTTTATTCTAAAAATCCTGATGGTTCTGTGGGTTTTGTTTGTCAATGCTGATCTATTGTTCTCATTTTCTATTGGATTCAGGTCAGGTGGTTGGCTGGAACATTCTAGCAGGTTTGATTTTCTTTTACAAGCATTTGTGAGTTTCCTTGGCTGTGTTTTGGCTTATTGTCTTTCTGAAATGCACCCTGGGTTCATCTTCATCATCTGGTAATGTAGCTACTGGACCGAACCTACTAATATTCAATTACAGGAGCTGCTGAAAACTACAGTAAAAAGACCCTTTGGTGGAAGAAACTAAACATTAATTATTGAACAATATTTATTTTGCCTGCTGTTCTTTCCTCTGTTTTTTTTTTTGCTCTGCTTAACTGTGCCAGTTCTAACACCAGATCGGTTCAGGTCACTATATGTCCACTCATGCTCCAGCAGTTAATGATTGACCACTTTAATTGATATGTCCACAAGGGTTCTCTCTCCCCCATTCTCACGGCTCACCTGCACATGTTCTGAATGTAAACTGAGATCCGCATCTGACCATCATGGAGCTGCTGTTTCTTTCGGCTGCGTTTCTGCTTTTTCTCAGGACTTGCGTATCTGGCATCACAATCACTAACGGTAAGGCTACATGTTCCCCTCTGTAATATTTTCAGTGTGACATATGATGTTAGAATAAACAAAAATGATCATCCCTGTGTTGTCGAAAAATCAAGTGCGTTTTTTATTTTAAATATGTATTGTTCTATTATTTACATGAACAAAAAAAGTTTTTAAATCTACAATGCATATTCAATATTAGTGTACAGTATTGTTCTATATTTGATCATTTATTTACAGTCAACAACATTTAAAAGGAATCAAGAAAAGACACGAATGGGTGTTCAATAGTTAATGGGTCAATATTTGACTTCAAATGTTGACTACAGTATATTGTGAAGGGATGTTTTAATTAATTTTATTTAACGCAATGTATTTTTACCAGGAAAAAAAAATTTATAGAGTATGAAAAAAGTTGATTTGAGATGATATTGATTGGTTATTTAATTATATTTGTGTACTGTGTGTCTTTGTCCCCTGTTTTAATTGTGTGTGTTGGTTTAGTGTCTAGCCGAAGCTGTTTGCTCAGTGAATGGATGAAAGCAGCACTTGTAGGAAACTCCATTAGTCTCAGATTAATGATCTGGTGAAAGAGAACAGTCTGTGATTCGTTTATCCTCATAACCAGATTACAAGAACACATCTCGCCACCTACATTAATGCAAAAGGCTACTTTTTAGTGTGGTTTTGTTAGTACATAATTTTTCATGATCAATTTAATTTAATTCAGGTTTATTTCTATATAACTCTTTTACAATGTAGATTGTGTCAGCACCTTAACATTGAAGTTCTAGTAAACTGAAACTGTCAGTCCAGTTTAGTTTAGGTCAGTGTGATTTAATTTTCACTGCTGAAAGTCCAAACACTGAAGAACAAATCCATCGATGCGCAGCTCCACAAGTCCCAAACCAAGCACGCCAGTGACGAGAAACAAACTTCACCAATTGACAAAAGTGAAGGAAAAAAAACTTTTAGAGACCAGGCCTAGTTGGGCAGGGCCATTTCTCCTCGGGCCAAACTTCTTGTGTAGAGCTGCAGTCTAGGCTGGAGGCTGGAGAAAGATGTCCACCGTGGAGAAGCTGCTGGTGTGAGTAGATCCCCAGCGGGTGTTCAGGATGTCACAATGGATCAGTGCGGAGACTCATCTGTCACTGGGTCTTTCAGGAATCAGTGTACACATGAACACCAGAGCATCTGCTCAGGATACGGTCTGGTCCAGGATTATGGATACCTGGGCATCATCTATTGACAGATCTTAGATCACATCAATTTGGCATAAAGCAATAAGGCAACAACAACAGCACGTCTTTATTGGACTCAGAGTACTGTAGCATTTCTGTAAACAGCGTATTTATTTTAATTAATTAGGCAAAGCTAAATTTGATGTACATGCATGAGAAAGGCCAGCAGTAAGTTTTAAAGTTTTAGGCTGGTTGCCAGAGTGTAGCTAATCATACTATATCAGGATGTTCCCTGTGGTTACTTTATGGTGTTGTGGATGTGCTACAAGTTTCAGGGAGTTACTGTGGAATAATGATATGTGGTTGCTAGGGTATTTTTTTGTGGTTTCCAGGGTGTAGCTAGGCAATTACTACACTCAAAAAATGACATTTGCTGTTTTATTTCAGATTCATTTATTTATTCATTTTCTTTTCGGCTTAGTCCCTTTATTAATCCTGGGTCACCACAGTGGAATGACCCGCCAACTTATCCAGCATGTTTTTACGCAGCCCCTCCAGCCGCAACCCATCTCTAAGAAACATCCACACTCACACTCATTCACACACATACACTACGGAAAATTTTGCCTATCCAAATTACCTGTACCACATGTCTTTGGACTGTGGGGGAAACCGGAGCACCCGGAGGAAATCCACGCAAACGCAGGGAGAACATGCAAACTCCACACAGAAATGCCAACTGACCCAGTCGAGGCTTGAACCAGCGACCTACTTGCTGTGAGGCGACAGCACTACCTACTGCGCCACCGCGTTGCCTGTTTGTTCAAATAACTTAATTAAAATGAGCTGATGCAACTCAATTCCTACATTGTTTTAAGGATAACTTCATTGTTTTATGTTCAATCCCCTTAAATGTGTAAGAACTAATAAGTTAATTGCTTCACGTTGTCCCAACACAAATTAATGTTTTTTTTTTACAATGTAGGGTGTTATGTGCATTTTTAGAACATTTCTATGCAATTAATACTGGTATGAGAAAGGCCAACAGACAGGTTTAAAAGCACTGAAATATGAAACCGTTTGAATAATGTTTATATTCACTGTAGCAGTTTTAAAAGTTCAAAATCTGACATTTTTTTGGCTATAACTAGGGTGTTCTTTTTTTTTTTTTTTTAACAAATTAATAGACATTAAATAGACTAAATTAATCAAGTAGGCTATGTTAGTTACAAAAGATCAAGCAGTGAGTTCAATTTAAAAATCTGATCAGAGTGCATGAGAAATGACAGCATAAAATGGATAGTTCCAGTTTGATTTTTCTGATGCCCCTTAGCTGTACTAAATCTGCAGTAAACCACAGCTTCACAGGGTTTATAGCTTTATTATAACACAGCTGGTCATCAGTAATATATTTGTGAATATGTATATACAGTTGAACTTAGAATTATTAGCCCCTACTATATATTTCTCCACTATTTCTGTTTAACAGAAAGAGGATTTTTTTCCAACACATTTCTAAACGTAATAGTTCTAATAACTGATTTATTTTATTTTTGCCATGATGACGGTACATAATATTTTACTAGATGCTTTTCAAGACACTTCTATACAGCTTAAAAAGACATTTAAAAGCTTAATTAGCTTAGGAACCATTTCACTAATGCCAAACTTTCTAGAATATTTCCAGATAGAAGTGATGCCGGTAACAGATGTAAGCAGTCACCGGCCGATCACCTTCCCATGTTTTGGTCATGTTCAAAATTAACAAACTATTGGTCTAATATTTTTAATATTCTTTCTCAAGCTCTTATTATAATCCTCATTCCTGACCCTCTGACTGCCCTTTTCGGTTATCTTCCAACCCCAACTACACAAACATCAACACACTGCGTCATTGCCTTTACCAGCTTACTCGCCAGGCACGCAATTGTCCTCAAATGGAAACATGTGTCCCCTCCATCATCAGAACACTGGATTAGAGAGGTTCTACATTGTATCTATCTTGAGAAACTGAGACATTGGTTTCACTGAACTCCTTTAACAAAACATGGAGTCCCATACTGTCTGTCTTTGAGAACCTTAACATTTCAGGACCTGCTGACTAGAATTTTGAAATGGAGAAAGAGGGACTTTTAGTGTTTACATTTTCTTCTTCTGTATTTACCCATATATTTATTTTTTTTATTTATTTTTTCGGTTGGTTTATTATTTATTTATCTTGTGTTTACTTATTGAAGGCCTCAGAAAATAGGGAGGGTTAGGAGATGGGAGGGATGGTGCATAGAAGAGGATAGAAAAGTTTGATTTAAGAGTTCTACAGTTTTTTTGATTTTGTTGCTGTATCTCTTTGCTGATAGGACTTCTATTTTTCATATATATTTATAAATTTGCATATTACCTGGAAAAAAATGCAATATATGTGTAATATAAATGCAAAATATTGAAAATAAAAGCATAATTAGGCCAGTTAGGGTAAATGGGTAAATCATTGTATAACAGTGGTCTGTTCTGTTGGCCAGCAGTTCTCAAATTATTTTCATCAAGTACCACCTCAGAAAAAAATTGTCTCTCCAAGTACCACCGAAATGACCAGTATTGAAATACAGTAGCGTAGGCCCAATAAAGCAGCTAAAGCTCTGCACAGTTAAAAAACAAGGCAGATTAGTTCCTATTATTAAGAATATTTATTATTGTCAGCCACTTTAAACATTATAAATAGTTTGAACATTAACAATGTGCTTTGCTTACAGGTAAAAAACAAACAATCAAACAAAATAAAATGTAAACATTTACATTGAAATGTGCTTTTAAAAGTTAATTAAAAATAGTAGGCTCCTGTACTTAAATGTAAAGTATTAACATATAGTAGCCTATTTATTAAAACCTGGAAATGTTGCTTGGACCTCGTAAATATAGGCTATATGTCATCATATTCAAATATAAATCATTTTTAATCAATTTTAAAATATTTGTAGCATGTACATATGACATATTTGATTCCTCTGCGTACCACTAGAAAGAAGCCCACGTACCACTAGTGGTACACTTACCACAGTTTGAGAACCTCTGCTGTAGACAATCAGAAGAAAATATTGCTTAATAATATTGACCTTAAAAAATTTAAAACTGCTTTTATTCTAGCCGAAATAAAACAAAGACTTTCTCCTGAAGAAAATATGTTATAGGAAATACTGTGAAAAATTCCTTGCTCTGTTAAACATCATTTGGGAAATGTGAAAAAGAATAAATATTTCACAGGAGGGCTAATAAGTTGTACTTCAACTGTAGATGGAGCATGCTCTGTTCTCTGTTCTCTAGATGCCCACGTGACGTGTCTTTTCCTGGAGGACTGTGTTCTGCCCTGCAGCTTCAGGCCCACCGGAGCTGTGGTGATCCACTGGTACAAGCAGCAGATCCCCGTCCACAGCTACTACTACAAAAAAGACCAGTACAGCCTGCAGAACAAGCACTTCAGCGGCCGCACCAGCCTGTTTAACTGGCACATCGCGCAGGGAAACGCCTCGCTGGTGCTCCGTAAGGTCAAAGTGCAGGATCAAGGCAGGTATAAGTGCTACACCAGCATCAGGAAGATCAACCAGGAGACCTTCGTTAACCTGGGTGTCAAAGGTCAGTCGTAGGCTCATGGGTGGATTAGTGTTTTTGATCATCTAATGTGAGTGTGATTTAGGAGGCAATTTACACTACCTGACAAAAGTCTTGTTGTCGATCCCAGTTGTAAGAGCAGCAAATAATAACTTGACTTCTAGTTGATCATTTGGAAAAGAGGCAGAAGGAAGATTTTTCTGATGAATCATCTGTTGAACTGCATCCCAATCATCACAAATACTGCAGAAGACCTATTTGAACCTGCATGGACTCAAGATTCACAGAGAAATCAGTCAAGTTTGGTGAAGGAAAAATCATGGTTTGGGATTACATTCAGTATGGGGGCATGCGAGAGATCTGCAGAGTGGATGGCAACATCAACATCAGGACATTTGTGCTGCCCATTACATTACAAACCACAGGAGAGGGCAAATTCTTCAGCAGGATAGCGCTCCTTCTCATACTTCAGCATCCACATCAAAATTCCTAAAAGCAAAAAGGTCAAGGTGCTCCAGGATTGGCCAGCCCAGTCACCAGACATGAACATTATTGAGCATGTCTGGGGTAAGATGGAGGAGGCATTAAAGATAAATCCAAAGAATCTTGATGAACTCTGGGAGTCCTGCAAGAACGCTTTCTTTACCATTCCAGAAGACTTTATTAATGAGTTATTTGAGTCATTGCAGAGATGAATGGATGTAGTCCTCCAAGCTCATGGGAGTCAGACACAATAATCATTTTTTTCCCACTGCACCATGACTTTATATTCCATACTGTCTAATCTAGAGGCCTTTGCCCTTCATGTAAGCTACTTCTGATACCAAATGATCAACTAGAAGTCAAGTTATTAATTGTTATTGCTAAAACTTGGATAGGCGACAAGACTTTTGTCAGTTAGTGTGTTATGAAGGGGCCACAAGAGGGCGCTAGAGGCTCTGTAAAAAAATATGAATAATATAAGACAAATTACGGACTAAATCAAAAGTTCTTACCAATAAACTTTGGTCAAATAAATAAATACAATCAATTAATCACAAATAATTTGTAAGACTTTACTTCAGTAAGTGTTTGTAATTGTATTATTTTGTTTAGTTTGCTTTTGTCATATCTTTGTGGGACCCCCTTGAAAATGCATCTCAAGGATTTATCCTTTGAATAAATTAAAATTGAATTGTATTTATTGCATTATTTTTTCTACTTTTATAATATATTTTATGTTCCTTTTTGTTGCTTTGTTTACTGGTTTTAAGCACTTTGTTTGAACAATATTAAATGATAGATAAATATTTTTCACACATTAAAAAAACGTGACTTATGACATTTTCGTCACTTCATTTGTACACATTTTTACCCAGGTTTACTGGTTTTAATTAATTTTTTTATTATTTTGGTCAGAAATAAAAATAACTAAACTGAAAATCACTAAAGATTGACTGAGAAAAAATATTAATTTACTATAAATAAAACTTTTGTTTGTATATTTTTCATATATTTATTTTATTTAAGACATTGAAACATTGAAAAATGTTACCAATTGCATAGAATAAATACATATTTTACAGCTATTTTACTTTTTTTTTTTATTTAATGGCATGATACCTGTCTTTATACTTCATGAAGCTGATGGCATTAAAACAGAGTATTTAAAAACCTGTTTCATCTGTTACATGCAGCTTTGATCCAGTCAGTGAAGCTGGAGCTGGTGGAGGAAAGGCTCACCTGTCTGTCCCAGAACATCTATCCTGCTCCTGAGCTCACGTGGGCCACTGATCCCCCCACTGACACCAGAAACTTCCAGAACTACACCCGCAAAACTTCAGACTCCAAGGGCCTGTTTAGCGTGGAGAGCTCCATCAGCGTGATTGGGAACGTCTCTGAGTATGTCTACTTCTGCTCGGTGGAGTCAGCGGACAGACTGCAGGTGTGGACGGCTTCACTGCATCAGCAAGGTAAACACTACTACACACTGTGTCTGTTCAAATTTTAGTGGTTAATACTCTTCTGAGCTTAATTTGAACAGCTCTAGGCTAGCTTTAAACAGCAGAGGATGCTCTAGGCTAGTTTTGAACAACAGCAGATGGTGCACTAGGCTAGTTTATGACAGCAGATGGCGCACTAGGCTAGTTTTGAACAGCAGATGTCACTCAAGGGTAGTTTTGAACAGCAGATGGCGCACTAGGCTAGTTTTGAACAGCAGAAGGTGAAATAGACTAGTTTTAAACAACAGCAGATGGCACTCTAGGCTAGTTTTAAACAGCAGTTGGCAGACTATGCTAGTTTTGAACAGCAGATGGTGCTCTAGGCTATTTTTGAACAGCAGATGGCGCTCTAGGCTAGTTTTTAACAGCAGAAGGTGCTCTAGACTAGTTTTTTTACAGGAGATTGTGCTCTAGACTAGTTTGAACAGCAGATGTCGCTCTAGGCTAGTTTTGAAAAGCAGCGAATGTCGCTCTAGGCTAGTTTTGAACAGCAGATGTCACTCAAGGCTAGTTTTGAACAGCAGACAGCGCTCTATGCTAGTTTTGAACAACAGCAGATGGTGCACTAGGCTAGTTTATGACAGCAGATGGCGCACTAGGCTAGTTTTGAACAGTAGATGTCACTCAAGGGTAGTTTTGAACAGCAGATGTCACTCAAGGGTTGTTTTGAACAGCAGATGGCGCAGTAGGCTAGTTTTGAACAGCAGAAGGTGAACTAGACTAGTTTTAAACAACAGCAGATGGCACTTTGGGCTTGTTTTTACAGCAGATGGCACTCTAGGCTAGTTTTAAACAGCAGTTGGCGGACTATGCTAGTTTTGAACAGCAGATGGTGCTCTAGGCTATTTTTGAACAGCAGATGGTGCTCTAGGCTAGTTTTTAACAGCAGACGGTGCTCTAGACTAGTTTTTTTTTACAGGAGATTGTGCTCTAGACTAGTTTGAACAGCAGATGTCGCTCAAGGCTAGTTTTGAAAAGCAGCGGATGTCGCTCTCGGCTAGTTTTGAAAAGCAGCGGATGTCGCTCTAGGCTAGTTTTGAACAGCAGATGTCACTCAAGGCTAGTTTTGAACAGCAGACAGCGCTCTATGCTAGTTTTGAACTGCGGATTTCACTCTAAGCTTAGTTTTTAACAACAGATGGTGCTCTAGGCTTATTTTATAACATTATGCTCAATTAAAACACTGTACACTAAACTAATTTTGAATAGCAGACAACAATAAAATAAATGCTACTAAATCTGCAGCAAATCTTGCAAAAACTTGCAAAAAAGTTTTGAACAGCAGATAGCGCACTAGGCTAGTTTTGAACAGCAGAAGGTGCTCTAGGCTAGTTTTGAAGAGCAAAAGGTGCTCTAGGCTAGTTTTGAACAGCAGAAGATGCTCCAGGCTAGTTTTGAAGAGCAGAAGGTGCTCTGGGCTAGTTTTGAACAGCAGAAGGTGGTCTGGGCTAGTTTTGAACAGCAGTTGGCTCTCTAGGCTTAGTTTTTAACAAAAGATAGTGCTCTAGACACAGGTGTCAAACTCAGTTCCAAAAGGGCCGCAGCTCTGCAGTTTAGTTCCAACCCTAATTAAACACACCTGATGAAACTAATTGAGTCCATCAGGCTTGTTTGAAACCTACAGGTAAGTGTGTTGGAGCAGGGTTGGAACTAAACTGTGCAGGGCTTCAGCCCTCCAGGAATGAGTTTGACACCCCTGCTCTCGACTTATTTTATAACAATAGGCTCAATTGAAACAATGTACACTAAGCTAGTTTTGAATAGCAGACGACAATAAAATAAATGCAACAAAATCTGCAGCAAATCTTGCAAAAACTCCACAAAAATTAAAAAATTCAGTCTCATTTTATTATTTTATAAATAATAAATACTAGCATCTAATATAGTATCTAATTATACACTATATATAAATCATTTTATAATTTAGATATTGATTAAATGCTAAGATGGCTTGCCATACAAATGTCAATAAATGTGAAAATCACAGCAATCTATAAATCATCTAAATCTCCTAGATGAGATATTTGCAGAGGAGGGCTCTGGTCTCTTGGTTCCCTGCAGCGTTCCTCAACCTCGCCACAATTTCACCCTCACCTGGAGCTTCAGCAGATCCAGCGAATCCATCGTAATCTTCAGTTTCGACAGCCGGAGTCGTCGCCTACTGAACCTGTGGGACGGCAGAGCTGAAGTGGACATTGATCAGGCACATTTGGGCAACGGCTCCCTTCATCTGCTGAACTTGGATAGTTTAACACACAGCGGCTCCTACATCTGCACTTTCTATGGTTTCCAGATTAGGCATCAAGTCCAAACCCACGTCAACATTACCGTCCGCATCACCGGTAAGATTTTCTTTGTGTGTGTGAAGGATTAGAGCAGTATAATTTATTTTGAGGACTAAAATGTCAAAATATTTTGCTGTATTTTTGTCCAGATGATGACGAGTATGACTGCAGGAGGTCCTGGTGGGGAACTGCTGCATCTGTCTTCATATTTCTGATCACTATATCTGTAGCCCTGTCTCGGTGTTTTAGACTGAGAGGTAAATAAAGTTCAATTATGGGTATATTCAGTTGTAGTCAACATTTTTGACAAAATTATAAATATTTAAGTTTTAACAGAATTGCTAATAACTAATTTATAATAACACATTTATTTTGTCTTTTTTATGATGACAGTACATAATATATTATGTCATATACAGTGCTCACATAATTGAGTACAACCCATTTTGAAAACTAATATTTTTATCCATTTCTCGTTGAATATAGTCAGTGTATTTTGTGCATTTAAACAAAACAGATTTATTAAACAGATATATTTATTCAAGTAATATTTTGGTCTGCAAACATTTTTCAAACTAAATGAATTTGGGTGTACTAGTTTTTGGAGCGTTATCATAAGTTGTTTTGTTCGATTAGCTCCAGAACTGGCTTCAGTACTGATTAATCAAATGTATATGCACAAATATAGTATTGGATAGCTTCCTATTAACAATATAAATTTAAAATATAGTTTTGTGAGGGGTGTTCTATATATAATAACATACTAGTTATTTTGCAAGCTTTTAGTATGCAGTTTAAAGTGCAATTTAAGAATTAAAGTAAGTTATTGGACAACAGTGGTTTGCTTTGTAGCCAATCAAAACAAGCATTTCAAAAAGGGGCCAATAATATTAATCTTAACTGTTTTTTCATTCCAACCAAACTAAAAGTAGTAAGACCGTCTCCAGAAGAAATATGTTATAGAAAACACTGAGAAAATGTTTTTGCTCTGTTAAACATCAATTGGAAGTAATCAAAACAGAATTTAAATTTCACAGGGCTAATCATTTTGCCATTAACTGTGAATATTAGCTTAAATGTAATGTATTATAGGTTAAAAATATTAGATATTTTAAAATATAATAAAATATGTAGGTTAGTATAGTAATTCCCATTTACATACACATATATGAGCAATATCACACTCGTAGCAGTGTTATGTGCCTGTATATCGGCACTGGTGGGAGGCGTGTGTTGACTTGAGGCCACAGGCCGAGTGCCTGAGTGCCCCCCACCAGTGCCGATATACAGCCACATACCCCTGCTACGAGTGTTATATTGCCTTTATACAACAGTTCATCAGCATAATTGTGTGTATAAAAAAGAAAATCCAACATGGAGAGTCTCAAAAACCCTTTTGTACGAGGAGCTACTTTCTTCCGCCATTCCTTCACATCTGCAGCTGACCATTAGAGCAGCAGAAACCGTTGCCAGTTTACTAACGTCACTTTTGAGCTAGTATTTGAATGATTCTCTAGTGTAATGTCTAATGTGATGACAAAACAGGTGATTTTTGCTGACATTTTAAGATTATAAGGCTGAACGGCATGAAATGCCATCAATCTATAGAGATTTCCCAGTATTTCTCTGTTGCAATCGGGATATCCCAATAATTAACCCCGAAAAAGCCAAAGGAAAGCAAACACTACCAGTTTTTATAATTATAAATACAGCACTACAAAATACAAAAAACAGAGATTGACTCAGAATGTCACTTACCTGATTTATAATGATTTGTTCAGCTGTAGTTTGAATCTTACACTGAGAAAACGCTGAGTTTTTCTTCCTTCAAGGACCTATTATGCAGGCTCAGTCGCCATCCTGTGGCAGAACGTCAACCGTCACTTTATTTGGTCTGCTCAGACAGGCTGATCATGCCCAATGATATGTATTATTTTAAAATAGATATTTATATTAAAATAAATATTTTAAAATAGGCACTATCCTTAAATAATAAACTGCATAGTTGCAATCTAAACAACTACATTCTCAACTACAAAAGCCTTAAAAGTACATAATGTTGTCCAACAGCAGCAATATTTGTCAAACTGTAACTCTACAGTTACTTCACTAATCTACTGTCCTCTGCTTGTCGCTGTATGTGGGTGGAGTAATACACAAGGGTGAAGGGTGAAGAGGCTAAGAGTGCTGTTATTTGCAGAATATCGCACGGCTATCAGCCAATCAGATTCAAGAACCAGACAGAACTGTTGTAAAAGTGTGTATGTAAAGCTATGTAATTGATTATTAAAACCCATATGTAGACATACACATTAATTGTTCAGTAATATATTACATTTTAATTTGTATTATATGTAAAAATATATTATTTTCATTTTGTCTTTCAGGTGAACGTTCAGCACAAAACCACGCAGACATCAATAAACGAGTCAGATGTTGCAAGACACCAGGTAAACAGTTATCCTCACTCACGCCTTTACACTGCAGTGGATGCACACCTTTCTAAAATCCTCTATTCGTTTAAGCAGAAATGCCACTATTTGAAAGACAAGGACAAGAAGAGCCAAGACGCAATGGTTTGGAATCTCCGGAGAAAGAAATTCACGTGATGTCTGACACAACGCCGCTCAAACAAGATCCTGACGGCCTTAAAAATGACATCCTACAGAATAAAAGCATGATTATTAATGATTCATCTACATCAGAGGAAAGACATGAATCCAGGCCGCAAACACCAACAGCTGCTATCATAACTCTCTTTATATCTGAAATCAACACAGACGCAGCTGATGAGAAGGAAAACGAGAGAAATGAACTGGAATCTGCAGATGGAGCAGAGATGGAAAATGCAGCGGCTCAGAATTGTCATAACACACCTGAGCTCGGACAGATTAACGGCTTCAGGTGATCAATATTTGATTGATTTAATGAAGCGGTGCTGAGTAGATTTTATAATATTAACAAGGTTTGAACTGGAGTTCATTCATGGACATTTATTAAAGTTTATTTGAGCAACACACCAAGATAAAAACCTCCAAGCCGAAGATTTCAGACTTATTTAAAGGTGCTTTATATAAGATTTGATTCTTCTAAAGCATAAAAATAGCAGAATATGTTTGCAGATATTTAGGAAACATGCTAAGTGAACATTCTTGTTTATCTGAAAAACAATGCTAAGGTCAGATATTCTGCTTTCAAAATGTGAGTTACGTTCCAAAACGACTGTCTTTGTTTTGGTCATTTAACCCACCCAATGCCAGTTTAGCCAATTTTATTTCAGCACCCCGGGTTGCCTTGGTGGAAAACAGCATATTTGATTGATCATTCAGTCAGGAAGGCTCTCAAAGTATGCATCCACGACTGAAATGTGACCTCCGGTGTACAGTAACAGACTCCGAAATGAGACAGAGTTCCACATGAGGTGGTTATTATTTAGCAAATAATATAAATATTACGAGCGTAAACATTTGATGAGCAGGTTACATTGCAGCCCCATGTCCTAACAACACACTACGTAATGAGATTTGCAGTGATAAGCAATTGGGCTGTTTGCTTTGGACCTAACACGACAGAAACTTAATCTAATTAATAACCTCTTTAACATTACTAATTATTATATTTTCAAGATCTGCTGCTGCTTTTAGTTGTATGGCAATAAATGTCATGTAAAATGGCATTTAAACACACATTATAAACATTTAATACTGATTAAAGCACATGAGATGTACTTGAGGTGATCATCTGGCAACCTGCGCTTGCATTTGTTTTGAATCAGGTGTGCAATACCTAGTTCAACCACTGGGTGTCAAACTTACATTCTACACCTTTATTAAAAACGTTTTAGTCAAAAAAGGGCCCTGGTTAGTGAAAAGTTACTAGGGATTCAAATTTTGATTATTAAGCCTATCATTAATTAATGGAGTCATTTTTATCATGACTCTGCCACCATACAAAGGTAAGGTGCAATATGTATGCAGAAACAGAAAGTGAACAAAATGCCTTTACAGTTTTTACACTTGGATATAGTAGTGACAGCAATTTTGACAGGACAAAATTGAACTGGTGGACTTGGTCACAAGGAAGAATAGATGTCAGAAAGGCAATTTTAGGCTTTAAAGGGGACCTATTATGCAAAAAATCACTTTATCACTGTTTAAACAGTTTTGTGTCAACAGTGTGTGAATATAACTAGCTTCTAATAATAAAAATGAAATAATTCTCTTTTTTTAATCACACTTCATAAAAACAGTCTGCAGAAACACTTGACATTCCCCCATTACACATGTCATCAGAGGAGGAAAGCTCCAGCCATTAGTAATGATCTCTTCCTCATTAGCACAGACAGCCCTAAGTGAGAAGCAGCCTTCCGCTATAGAGTTTTCACAACATACCTGCTGAAGGTTTCAGTGACTAAGAGACTTTATAAATGTTTTAAATCTGCCGCTATACTAAAGCACAGGCATTTGTTACTCTGCCCTCCTTTGAAAAGAGCACAATCTCATTTGAATTTAAAGCGACAGTCACCAAAACGACACAGTTTGGATCAAAGCCTAAAAGGGGCAGTTTCAAAAGGTTATAAAATGTTTATTTGTGTGGTTTTGAGCTCTCTATTAGATACTTATTTTACATCTTGTAAAAACAGGTCCCCTTTAACTTAGTTTTGACAAAATGTGTAGTTACTGTACTTTGCCTTTGTAGGTGCAATTGTGCAATTATTAAGGTATCTGATTTTTCCCCGAAGCACCTGTCACAATTCCAAACCACTTAAATCTGTTAATTTAGCATGCAATTATTAGAAAGTGGTGTATAATTTTAAATGAGGACTGCAAGTGGAGAACCCCTTATATTCAGAAGTGCTTAATTAGTTTAAATGTTTCCTTTAACATTTAAAATGGCTTAAGAAATTAGATGTAACTCACATTAAAAATATATACATAACTTATTAATGATTATATACAAAATTGATTGTAGTAATTATGAATGGTGAAGATTGAAATTGGCCACATTTGCTTGAGGGAAATAAAGGATCAGAATGTCCACTTATACACACGTCTTATATGCATTTATTCCCGCATACTAGATAGGTAATCACATGTTAAATTAAATGAATAATGTATAATTTAGTAGTTTATATATCTCAAACCTGCAATTAGAAAGTGACCCTGTAAACAGACCATGTGAATGTAGAATACACGAATAAATAATGTACAGAATGTAAAATGTAGGAGTTTATAACCAGCAGGTGGCGATATTTCTACTTGTGTCATCTGTTTACAGCGTATCTAGCATGCTTGCTTCCTTGACTAAATGTGTTTTCTTCTGTCAGTGAAGAAGTAGGTCAAATCTTTTCACAATGTAAAAAACACACTTAAACTTTCTTTTTAGTGAATTCAAATACCATATTTTTACTCAACCATTTACTACAGGCTGCAGTCACTTAACGTAGCCTACAGTAGTTAAATAGCTAACAACGATATCTGAATCATGGCTTCAGATTGACCTCTGGCTGCTGTTGGAGTGAATCTCTTCAAATTTTGGGGAAGGGTTTGACCCCTTTTTTCCTGTTTACAGCACCATATGTCCGTCCCTCGTGGACATGTCAAATTAAACAACAGAAAATTCTCCTTCCAACGTATTCAGCTGTGTTATAACAAGCTGGATTTTTCAGCAGTGTAGTGATACTGTAAGCTCCGTGGAAGTTAATTAAACAAGGAACCAGAGATTATTAAAGTTTGAGGGGACTATAAACATACAACAGGACATAACTGTGATCTACTAATGCCTGCAGGTCTGTCATGAGCATCTCCGGTGAGGTAAGATTATAATCAGGCTATTATTATTACAAACACTTTTTTATTAATACACACATTTCTTAAACGTCTTTTTTCTTTTTTAAATAACGTTAGCTTCTCAAATAGCTCTCATAATAATTATTTTGGGTTGTTTGCCTTTACACAGTCAAACCAACTTATAAGATGGTTTTACTTAGATTTATCACCAGATTTAGATTATATTTAAATCGTTTAGAGATTACCAAGATAGGGAATGTTTTCTGAACTTTGGTTTGTGGTGTGGCTAATTCAAATCTTTCAATCCAGCAGGGGGAAAAGTTCTTTGTGAGCTATTCATTGAAAGGGTTTTTGGGAAACTTCTATTGAATTCCAGTGACAGCTTTTATTATTAACAGTGATAACACTTTTATTTTGTAGTCTAACAGTTGGTCACTGCTAGACAAATCGTCACCTTGGAATTATAAGGTTCTATCTGCGTTCTGAATTATTTTGAATTATTGAGCTTCAAAGTTTTTGCATTCCATTGCAGACAGCATGTGTGTAACATTTAGTTTTGTTTTTATTTAAAAAGTCTTAGAAATTAGAATTTAGAAAAAAAACTTAGTCTTAGAAATTAGTCTTAGAAAAAAACATCCCATAATGTAAAAAAGTTGTCATTTAATAAGAATATGTCAATACTCAATTTTGACAAAAATGTCAGATAGAACCTTATCATTCTAAGGTGACGAAACGTTGAATAATGCCTTTTCATTGTTTTAAAAAGTATTTTCTTGTAGGCTATTCACCAAGGTTAGATGTACTGTAGCTTGTTTAAAAACGCTCTGGCTGTCATTCTAATCAATACATTTTCATTTAAAAAGTCAGTGTGAAATCAAAATTTACAATGTCTATTTTGCTATCACACATTGTTATTGTTTAGTTGATCCACTGAAATAAAAACGTTTGCTTTGGTAATCATCAATCAAGGTCTGAGCTGGTCTGAGCATTTGCTTCTGCTTGGAGTGACGGTCCTTCTCTGTTTGACGCTTCAGCCACAATATTCTTAAAGGCACCCATTTTACCCCTTTTACCAGATGTAAGATAAGTCTTAGTGTCTCCAGAATGTGTCTGTAAAGTTTCAGCTCAAAATACCCCTGATATGATTTATTATGGCCTCCAGAATCTGTTGATTTTGGTGTTGAAGTACATTGTAGTTGTTGAAGCCTGTGGCTTCAAATGCAAATGAGCTGTTTCCCACCACCCACTGTTCCCACGTGCGTGTTTACTTTGATGCATTATGTCAGATAAACAGCAGTCAGTGATAGAGACAGATGAAGATGAAATAAAGTCATTAGTCAAATATACCAAGTAAGTTTATTTGATGTATTTGTGGTGGAGTTTATTCAAGCCTGTCTGAAATGATGAGTCACACACAAGTGCCGTTTGCAGTACACACACACACACACACACACACACACACACACGCACGCACGCACACACACATTTAAGTGTTTACTGACGCCATGCAGCCATGGTGAATATAGTGGTTAAGAATTACATACGCAAGGCAAGGCAAGGCATAGCGATTTTACCTTTATTACAAACATACTCTGTTTTAAAAAAGTTTAAAAACTGTTTTATAAAACTTATAACAATCACAGAGAGTTGGAACAGATTTTAATCCAAGTTAATTTGCAAACAAATTTGCATGTTACTATGGAGACATGGTGCCTGCCAATCAATTCAGTGGGTGGGAAAACAGCACCCCTACGTCACGTTGCGGTGGGCCTCAAAATCAGGGATCACGCATTTTATCGTCAGGACATTTAAAAAAAAAGAGACTCGTTGTGTTTATATCACTCCAATATGTCAGTGGACACACTTTACACACATGCAGTTCTGTCTAACCAGCTTACAAAAGATGCTTTTAATCATAGGTGCCTTTAACCACACCCCTCTTACCATTAGTTTACTATGTGGGAATGATGTGTAAAATGAAAGCCCCGCCTCTACTCAATATTCAGTT